ATCCCACAACCCACCAGCAGTGGCATCATGCCCAGCCAGGGACAGGCTGTGCGTGCAGGCGTGTCCTTCTCAGGCTTGTTTTCTAGCTCCTTGCAAAGGTGATTAGCATCAAAGTAAAAGCGCTCGGACACATAATTAGGCAGAGCAAGACAGCGGAGAAACAGGGACGGCAACCTCTGTGGGCGAGCGTTGGCAGTCAGCAGCTTCGGGGCCGATCCCCAAGTGACGCCAGACCTCGTCAACTCACGGGGTGCACACCAGCACCCCGCTGCAAGACCACGGGGTGCCCGCCAGCATCCCCGCCACTGCAGGAGCATCACCCCATCCAGGCAGGGCGATCGCAGGGTCAATCCCTTGTTTCCACCCAAGCAGCCTCTTGCGCCACCACCCAGCGTTTTTGGTTTCTCAAGGCTCCCCATCTGCTGTTTTTGAGGCATTCAAACCCCCAGGGCTAAATCAGCAGCTGAAATCACTGAAGCCACCTGAGGTTACCCCAGCTGAGCATCTAATCTGTATTTACAAGGAATTAAATTTACTAGCCCAGAACCCCCTTGCCTCTCCCTTCCCAACCAGTGACACAGAGCTCAGAGCGGGGTTTTAATCCTCACACATCAAATATCCCCTCGCGCCCTGCGGAGCCGCACAGGGAGAGGAGCACCGACCCCTTTGATGCTCTGTGACCCGAGTCCCGGGTGCCACCTTGGTCAGAGGGGCCAGGTACCTCGGTGTTCCTGCAATAAGCTGTTCTGGCCCTTTGATGAAAGGCAGATCATTAACGGGCCATCAGGGTTAGGAAAACCAGCACTCAGCCGGTGGAAATGCGCAGCGAATGGTAGCTCCCATGTGTAAAAAAAAATAAACCAAAGCAATCCTCGATTAACCCCCCAGAAACCTCAAATCCAACAGGAAGAACCATCAACCCCCCACCAAATATTTTTATTATGGGTCCACATTTTTTATGTGCTGGCCCATAGCCCAGCATAGCCCAAAACGCAGGTGAAGGCCCACTCAGGGCAAACATCACGTTTTCCATCACGTCGAGGACAGAGCACCCAAGTTATCCCTGGAGCATTGCCTTGCCTGAACACATGCAACGCAGCTGCATGGTTCCTAGAGTACTGCAGCGTTGGCTGATGCATGGCAGGCACAAGGAGAGCACCGGGGACACCCAGGTCCTCTCCTGTCCCTCTCCCTCCTGCAGAGCCCCCAGGTCTGTGCAGAGCAGAGGTTTCCAGACAAGCCCCCTGCTCCCGCTCATCGCTTAGTGACAGGCAAAATACTCACCCTGCCAGCCCCACGTCCGCATTTCGGCCCTTACCTGGGTACAGGACCCTGCTGATCATCCCCGGCATGATGATAACGAACAAGGGCAGCATCTTCAGGTAGCTGGCCAAGATGGAGCCGGCCTTGGCGTGACTCAGGCTTTTAGCAGAGAGCGACCGCTGGACGATGACCTGTGGGAGAGCGGGCCAGGAGGGCTGAGCAGCCACCAACCTCTCCTATTCCACACCAACATCTCCCTTGACAAACTGCATCCCAAGCATCTCCAAACGCTGGAGCCACGGGGCATCAGGCCCTAAAAGCAGCTCCCAAATGCAGCATAGATGCGTACCCAACCCATGGGCCGGGTTTCTCTCCAGACCAGCAGTGGATTCGTGTTATGCCATAGCACCACAAAAGCCCGGTGCAACCACAGCAGTACGTCCTACTGCCAGTATCAACCATTCCCCACCACCATCCTCTTCCCTCTTGCCTCTTCTATTCAATCTCCTCCCCAAAGAGCGCCCACAACGAAATGGACACCGAGTCCAGCCTCATCCTACCACAACCCCACCACCCACACTGCTCAAACCATCACACCTCAAAGCCCTGGCCAAGCTATGTCCATCCACGATACAGCCAGCTCTTGGGCTTTGAGGCAATCTCTCTTAAATAGGCAAGATCCATAGGAAATGCTGACTTTAAAGAGCTCAGATTCTCACCAAAGGCTTACAGAGAAGTGCTCGGCACCCAGCAGGATTCGGCCACTCCTGAGCAAGCTCTGGCTTGTGCCACTGGTGGGCAGAAGGGACGTGGTGCCGGTTCCTGGGGTGGGATGCTTGGGCAAGCTGCGGTTTAACTTCTGCCCAAGAGCCAGAGCATGCCAGGAGCCGCAGGACCCACCACCCAGCTCAGGCGCGCGATAACCTCGAAGGGAGAGGAGCTAAGTCCCCCTTAGTCCTTCCCACCTGAAGACATCTCAGACCCTAGCACCGGTTTTAAGCGACCTAGTTAACACAATCTCGCATCACCTAAGCTAAACCGCTTTATCGCAGCCCTCCTGGTCAAAGCAGGAGGTGTCTGGCTCGAGGACCAAAGAGGCCATTGGGATTTAGGGACTAAATGACTGAACGCCGAGATGATGCCAACAGCACGGTGGAGATGTGGCGCCAGCGGCACGGCAGGGGTCGCGGCAGAGGCAGGGCAGGTCGGTGCAGCCGGCTCTGCAGCCTCCCAGCCCCAGCTCGTCCTGCCATCAGCACCTGCGCTCGCTAGATATAATCTCGCCCAGGTACATCTGCACGGGGTGCAATCACACCTCCGGATTGCGGCGCAGACACACCCCAAGAGGAAGATAAATATCTGGTGACCACAGCCGTGCATTAAGGCCTTACCCAGTCCAGAATTAAGATTAATGGTGCTCAGACCCGATCCAAATGTCTGTCTCAACCCAGCTAATCAGAGCCACCCCCGCAGTGGTGTTGCAGCTCACTGTTGTCTCCTGACCCCACCTCCTCTCCCAACCCTCCGTCCTTTCATCTAACCGTGGTAGCTACCTAATCCCACAGGTTGGGTCTGGATGACTGAATGCTCTTTGGGCCTGAAATGAGCACTTAGATGATTAAGATGGGTGTTCAGGCTTCTGCTGGAGTGAAGGTGTTGAGATGCCGCTGGCGTCCTTGGTCCTGGATCTCCAGGCAGCAGTGGCTTGGCTCGGGACAGCCTCCGGGCTGCTGGGGCTGCTTGGGAAGCGGCTGCTGAGATACTGCGGTGTGCAGGACAGTGTGTTGCCAGAGCAAGAACTCAGAGGAGCAGCATTGGTTAAAACTTGAGGCATTTTTGAGCTGCCACTGGTCTCGGAAGAATTGAGGCAAGGGAGTACACCCAGTGGTAGCGGGATTTGTCCATGAGGACCAAGTTTGCAACGCAGACGTGTGAAGGGGTGCCCTTGCAGGGGCATAGCGTGCTTAGAGCAGCAGTAGCTCATCTCTCTCTCTGCTCTTTAACAAACAGGGGACACACATCTACCGCTACCGACCCAGGAACCCCGCGGGCAGAGAACAAGGCAAGGAGGTCTCCTGCTCCCCGACGCATGAGAAACCCCCTGGGGCCACCAAATACAGAGGGGATGGAGCCGAACCCAAAAAGACCATTGCAGGCAGCCAGCCCTACTGGCAGAGCAAAGCCTTCAGCCCCAGCAAGACCACGCAGCCCGGCCACCTCCCACCAAGCAACCCCAGAGCATCAAACAAACGCTTAACCTCCCTGCCAGAAGGCCAGAAGACAACCGAGGAGCTGAGGACGCCCCTCGGCATCCCGCTCTCCAAACTGTCCCAGTCCAAGCACCTCAAGAACAGGGTTGCGGGAGCCCCAGGTGCTTCTACTGACTCCAAAAAGAAGCCCCCCGAGACCACCGGCCAGAAGGACCACTAGGCACGGATGCAGGTGGACTTCCAGGGCAAGAGCGGTAGTAGAGCGTGCCTGGACCCCAGGCAACGCCGTGTTTCGTGGGGCAGGGGATTCTTGTTTACATTTACCTGGTCGGTGCACCAGTACCACGTGGCCATGATAGACAGCCCGAAAGTCATCCCGGTCCAGGGCAGATCTCCAGAGACTGGGTCGCGGAAGAGGTGCATTGCATCCGCTCTGGGCAGGTGGCAAGTAGTGTTGGGAACGATCTTGGATGGCACGGCTTTTAAATAGGCCTCTTCCAGGTTGGGGTAACCTCCGATCTCATTAAAAGCTGGAAGACACCGTTGAGGGAGGCTGGTTAGAGCCGAGCAAAACCCGGTGGCCTCAGATCAGCTGGCAAAATGCTTGTCGACTCGTTAACTCAGAAGTGCTGCCCAGAGAGGGAGGGCTCGTTCGTGATAGTGTTTTCTTCTAGTTATTTAAGAGACTCTTCTATTAACATTTTGCACAGTACGTCCCGTTACAGTCCGCCCTCCCTTTGGAGGGTGACCCGTGTCCTGGGACAAAGGCTCCTCAAGGGACCCACCTCTTTTAAGCTCGTACTGTAAAAGCAACCTGTTTATTAAAGCTCCCCAGTCCCAGAGCAGGGGAAACTCGCCTCGGACTATTAAAATGCAAGATTAGGTAGCCTTTGACTTGATACGCTACAGCTCAAGGTGCCTTGGCACAAGCGCCTGGCTAAACTTTTCCTACCCTTCCGAGCATTTCCCCAGCACCCCCCAGGCAGCTCCATCCCCAAACCTCCAGCAACCAGTGAGGGGAAAAAAAAAAAAAAAAAAAAAACAAAAAACAAAAACCCTCCTCCCTCA